CTATAGATTTCTTTGCTTATGTCAAACATGTTTGAAAGTTGCTGATTCATCTATAACCTTTTTACCAAAGTTTCCCCACATTTTCCTCATTCTTCAAAGTTCGCCCTTTTGTTTGTTTCATCTTCAATGCATTCACGCTTTTATTTGAAGTGGTTTAATTGCTTATGCAGTTGTGTTTTAGAAATTCATTACCATCTACCGCTCGAATCATTTCTAACGTTTTGATAGCAGATTTACGTACTTTTTGACAAAATATAATGTCATCATGTTGTTCCGTCATTGAGCAAACTTTTTTGTACAATTTCTTTCTTCTCAGAAAATGGAAATAAATGGAATCAACTCCGGCCTTTTGATATGCAAACCACAAAATAACCAGTTTAAACTGGTTTTAACAAGAGTTGAGATGTAACTTTTTATAAACATGCATTTATTCTTTCACTTTTTTATTTTCCCATGTGTTCTTTTAATTTACGCGATTACTTCATGGGCGTACCTCGTATAAATAAGTAATGCTTCAGATTTTTTAAATTTCTTTTTTCCCCCAGCAATTTAGTAAAACAGAAATAATTTTAAATGTATTTAATAATAATTTTTAATTTTAAAAGTCGTATATACTTAGTATTGTTTTTGAAACTTACGTTCCCATTTTGTCTAATTTTACTTCAAAAGCTTAAACGTATGCAAAATCCTAGACATCTGCTTCATTTAGTTACCACGTTAGTGAAATACCTATAATGCAAGAAAATGCAGTATTGGCTATTAGTGCATTAATACTGAACATAGCACTATCCCATCTACTACATTCGCTAATATAATTATTGCTACTGTCAACATTCATCCACAGCTAATGCATTGCCTGGCTGCCAGGATAAACACCTTCTAGAATTCCTGAAATATCATTATAAGGCTTTTCGTTCTGAAGCCTTACTATATCCATAATTCTGCCCAGAAAATTCGCTCTCGTTTAACTCATTATCAGAAGCCTGTCTGCATCTGCATTTCGCCTCTACACCAGACGATATTCTAATCGTATAAATGGAGTATTATCTCGGGTTTTATGAAATATTAGAATATGATGGAAATTCTACTGATTAGCTGCAGCTGCTATGAGCTCTACAGTTTGAATATACAGCTATGCAGCTGAGATATAGAGCCTTTTCTGAATGGATATTTACATTAAGATGGCGCTCTTTCTGAAATATTGAACCAAAATTCACTCTATAATTAATTTATTAAAGTTCTTGAAATGCTTTTGTGTTCAGCTGATATACATATGTGTATGTATGCGTGTACGTGTAGTAGCCAAAACCCTGATTTAACAGTTGTGAAGAGACTGCTAAAAATTACTTTTAAATCGAAGAACTATCTTCATCTCTCTCTCTATATATATATAAATGAATGTTTATTTGTTTGTCATTTATACAAATGTACAGCTTAATTCCGATATTTATGAAACTTAGACTTGACTTTCAAAATAAGAGGAGGGTCACTGTCTACATAATATTTCTCAAAAAGCAGCCCACGGGGTTCGCACTCTTTATATAGATATATTTTACACTAATTTAGAGAACGTTTCAATAAAACTTCAGCGATTTAAAAGCTTTACTTTGCCCCTCTGCAAAGCGTAAATTATATATGTTTCAAATTTAACAAGAAGACTTGGAGGTATAAAAAATTGTGTTGTCACTCCGAAAAACGCAATTTGTCTCGAATTTAATAAACAAACTCTGCTGTTTAAGAGAAATGCGTTTCCACTGCCCAAATTAAAATATTTTGAAGAGCGTTACCACTCAGCCTCACCGTAAAATGTTTCATTTTCCCCACATTAATAATATGAAAGCATTAACAAGCGTGCTATTGCAATACACGCATTTTCTTTGTTTTTTGAAAGTGAACTTGTAATAGTCGTCACAAAGCATTATTTTCTCTGTGAAATCAGTTATGTTATCAAAACGAAAATTGATTGCTCGATCTACACCTCAAGCACGAAATAAAAAGGCATCGCAAGATTGAGAAACAAACGAGCAACGAGAAGTAAGAGTGGTAAACTGCTCAAGCCCGTTCGTATGAAACGAAAGAGCAACGGAAAGTGTTCGAGTACGCACAAATCTTGGTGCAGTCCATCGCGATGCTAATTATGATTTCAGTCTGTGGTCTAATTATGATTACAATCTGTCTGAGCTTGAACATTAATTATGCTTACTGTTCAAGCTCGATCGTCTGAAACAGACGAGCAACATGAAACAAGACTGGAAAACGTTTGAGTACGTACAAATCTTGGTGCATTCCATTGCTATGCTACTTATGATTACAGTCTTCATCCAAGTGTGGTCGTTGGAAAGATAGATAGATTACGCATGTATTGTAGAGCCCTCAAATACGCATGTATTGTAGAGCCTCAAGTGTCCTGCTTGGGTGCTGCTGGAAATTGCTAGAGTTAAATTCGCCGATCAAATCATTATCAATCTGGGTATCAGGTGATACAAGCAATCAAAACATCCAAAATACGCATACAGAATCATAACAGAATTAAAACACAAATGCTTTGTTTCCTTTACGTAGCATTGCAATGCATGCCGGGTAACAGCTAGTATCATTATAAACACCACGTATATTACTAAATTCTAAAACATTTGCCTAATAAATAATAAAAAGAAATATCTTTAATACCAACAAATGTTTTATTTATTTTTTGAGCGGTTTTGGATCGAATCAGAGGAAACAATAATTAAATCGCGTATCGTTACACCGCAGCCGAATTGTCTCCCTCTCTGATTATCTTTGTAGAATTTTTTACATGAAGAATATGTGTGATAGATTTAGTATTAATTTATGGGCTAGTATGTTACATTAATGATTTCTCGCTGATTGTCACGTATAAGTGTTAGCAAGAAACGCACTCATTTCCCGGCCGATACGCTGGAGTGCCAGAACGTTTTCTCGTTCACCTCCGGCCGTCACACATTTGTGCCAGTGTCCAGGAACGTTTTAAAAACTACACACTTTTGGCACAAGATGGCATTGTATGTCCATATGGTTTCAGAGACATGTAGATTTGACCTTCTACTCAAAATGAGAGCAGCATGACTCACATATACGTGGTTTTTGATTATATAAACATAAGGGGAAAGGAATGTTTCCGAATGGCATTATGGCGGCTCTTTAAGCTATCATATATGTTGAAATTAGCGTTTAAATATCTTTTTCCTTTACTTTACAAGAAAATATATTAAAAAATTGCTCACTTTGAGAAATAATTTTCGGAAACGCTATTCAAATTATTCCAGAGTTTTAATTGATAAAATACATTAAGAAACTTTTAAAGTAATAAAAAAATACTAGAAAATCTGTTTACAAAAAGTAAAATCTTTCACGTGAACTGGAAGACAGACACTCAGTGGGCTCAGTCTCTGACAAAATGTCCATATGAGAATTATTAGAAATATCTCTTTTAACTCTTTAAGAAATGAATAATCACTTTCACTCATATCACTAATTGGCTCATTTATCATTCATCTGATAAAAAATGCTAGCTCGCCATAATAAACTGAAGTCGTATAGGGTATATATGTAAACTGAAGGCTTTCTGAAATAATAGCAATGCAAAACGTAATAGAACCTTACATAATAAACACCCTAAAACACTCTATATAGTAGCAAAAAAGGGAATACAAAAAGGACTCCAAGGGATATAGAAATGCGAATGTTTATATAACGAGAAAACGCTCTGGCACGCCAGTGTGCCGGATGGGAAACAAGTGCGTTTCTTGCTTCTTCATGAACTTAGGCTAAATGTCAAAAATCCTTCCGGCCCTGGACAGAAACTCGCGAAAGAGACCGCCAGCCAACCTCAGGGATAAGTGCGCGTTTGCGCTTCCCGTTGCGAAAGGGTTAAATGTTTTCATTCCACGAACCGTTAATAGAGATTCTAGAAAGCATTCTAGTAATTCTATGAGGGCGCCAACAGCACTGTGTGTATAGTAATGAAGTTCATTTCATCTTCACTGTCAAAAAGAACGTGCAAAGTTAATGCAGTTGCTGCAGAGATTTTTGCCATTAAATAGATAAGCCTTGGAATGTCTTCATAGATAACGAGTATTTTTCCACTGTAGAGAAAATTTGGTTTTCCGGAACTGAAAACGTGAGATAACAGCTTGCCTTCGCCAAGATTCGACCCACATTTCTCCCATTTTCTAGCTGAATGTACTAACCACTTACGCTATGACAACGTGCAGGAGGAATGCGATACTTCCTTATAGTATACAAAGAAAAAAATCAATAAGTTGAATTGGATTATTTAAATAAAACAAAACAATGGGCCTAATATTTGCCTACACTTGTTGTTTTAATTGTTTTGATCGATTCCGAGGGAGGAGCCGAATATGGAGATATTGTGTTTCTTTCATCCCCTCATTAAGTTCTGAAGAACAATTCCAAAGGGCTGAGTTTAGAAAGAAACAAGAATAGGAGCTCTATCGTCCAATCTATCATACAGTGAAAGAGACTGTTCAACTCATTATACATGTTTATTGTAAAATGTGTGGGAGGATAGACTCAGTCCTACAGGAAGTTGAAACTATTAATTTTTCCGTGTCCTAAACTTAAAAATAAATAAATAAAAATGAAAATAAAATTTGAGCTAAGAAAAATTCAGTAAATATATTTGCTTAAACATTAGTTTTTAATGATTTAGCAAACTTCAAAAGTTTACTTGTTCTCGTTTAATTTAATTTGTTGGCAAAATCAATTATTGTATAGAAGAACTGATAGCCTTTATGAGCTGGAATGGATCTAAACATTATCAAACATTTAAGATATCTTACAAATTCTGTATAAATTCTAAGCCAAGAAAGGAAGAATAAAACAAACGAAATACATACATTGTTACTTGCATAGTGGTGATTCTTCAGATATTTAAGCTATAAAATGATTTTAAAGAATAGGAGATAAATACTGAAATGATACCTGAAACAATCGATTAAAAAATTCCTGTCAGAAGATTTCATGAACTATCTTTATTTTCCACATCATCATCACAGCACAAAAACAATATATCTCAATATTTCCTTTCATCCGAAACTCAGAATCCTTTCCTTGTTATTTAGAAAATTCCAATCACTGAAATATAACAAGTGCACTTTGTTCTTCCATTCTGCGTGCTTCTAGTCATAATCGTTTGGGACTCCGCTTAAGATAGAAACTTGAAAGTGTCATATTATACTTGCGCCAATGCACGTATCATTTGCCTCCAAGGATAAAATGTTTCTGAATAATCTAGACTTGGTTCTCATAAAACTTTCGCTGATGTTTCCTCCATTATCATAGCAGAAAGGAGAAACAAGGTCACTGCCCCCAGGGTTTTGTTCCTTTCCCTACCAGCAAACGATAAAGAACACAAAAAGTAAGAATTTCTTTTATCGCTAAACGCTTGAAAGAACAACATCTATGACGCTGTAGCAGCAGTTTCATCTTGCATCAGTGGGTTGACTAGAGTTGGTGGAGCATGTTGGTTGAGAAGAATGATTGGGGATTTTCCATCGGGTCGCGCAATTTATGCTAAACGCAACATCTAGGGAAGACCTAAATGGGGAAGAAAATAGCTCAATGTAGAATCAGAACGCTTTATAAATGTGCTGCAAATTACACTTTTCTAACAAGGTATTTTCTCGTTTTTTTTAGTCTATTTTTACTCTCATATTAAATGCGAATAACTGTGAAAATGTAATTTGAGATACCAATTATAAAAACGAGAATGGTTAAAAAAAAAAAAAATAGAAAAGCACTTTGTGCAATACTTTCTTAGAACGATCCTCGATATACCGTGGTTTCTGTTATTATGATATTGTTACTTAAAACCGTATGCGCATACTATGGTCTCTGATTAGTCCGCCTACCTTACCCCCTCAAAAGAAAACAATGTTTTTTTAGGTGTTTTCTTCCGTACCACGTAAATTTTAGAAATGTATTAAAAATACCCTATAAATCGCCATGTAAACTTTAGAAATGTGTGAAATGTAATTAGGAATTAAGGATTCATTTAAATGCGCATAATGTGATTATGGTTTACAAATGCATACACACACATATATATATATATATATATCGCAGAAAGTGTTTATTATAAATATAATTACTCAAAGCATTTTCGCGCAATATGCTGCTGAAAATTGACCAGTATGGATAAAAAGTAAGAAATTTAGAACCCATTATACGCAAAGACCCAAAAAGAGTGAAATTTTATAAGAATGCATTTCAAAATATCCAATAAATATAAAAGAAGAATTAAAGAAATATAAAATTAAAACCTAAAAATACTAAATAGCTAGAAATATATACCAAAAATAAGTAGAGAAGAGGGATTCATTTAGATATGATTATCAAGAGTCGGGTATTATCAATTATTATCAAGTATTGTACCTGATTAAGACCAAGATCAAGAGTCAGCTCATCCCTTAAAGCTCGTTCGTCTTAAAACTAACGTCAAAAAGCTTCTCAGATTGCAAATCTTAAAATATTCTATTGATCGTATTACTTGAATCTTAAAATATTCTATTGATCGTATTACTTTAAACTTAAAATTTAAACATAATCTATTTTCCATTTTCCAAAATAAAGGCCTTAAAACATAGGACTCAGTTATAAACTTCTTTACAAATCGTTGCCATCCTCAGCTTAAAAACCAAGACTAATTAAATTACACATTTTAATATTTTCCAGTGTTTTCAAATACTGAATTAGTATTTTCATGTGTTAACAGTTCGTATAAACTTTGTGAATAAACATGTCAGAAGAGGGAAAAAAAAATTTATCTTTTTTGCAAATTCAAGCAGTAACAATTTTTATTGGTGAAGATGTCCGGATATCTTCCTCATACATAGACGAGGAAAAATCGCATACGGAAATTCTTTCCTGAGGCGGTAGTGACGACACAATACACAAGAAAGGATGAACACGAAGAAAGTGAGAAAGCATGTTTATTATGGTCAGTATAGCTGGAATGTTGATAATGTTGAATTCTTGCATACATTTTCAGCCTTGATATGCGTCCCCACTTGAATGCAATGTATTCGTAACATTACATCGGCAGGGGTGGTCTGGTGCATTGGCTAGCAACATCACTTGCATTGACTACTTTCTCTAGGGGTACATCAAGGCATTGGTATGTGAAACCCCCTTTAACAGTACTCTGGAACTAGTTAAGAGGTCATCACATCTAGCGACGTTCCCTGCTAGACGGGACTTTTCTGAGAAGCGAGCTTCTGGTAGCACTGTTTTAAACGGAAGGATTCTTAGATAAAAGAGCACCGCTGGAAACGAAGTTCCGCCTAGCTACGGAAACGATCTACCGGCTACGCGGGATTTTTTGAAACCTCACCTAAAATGTTTCTGCTGGAACACTGTCCCGCGTAGAGATCACCCAATCAGACGAAAGTTCTGCTTCTGAAGGATAACATGAATCCCAATCTGAGCGATAATCGATTACTGTTTGGCGTTCAAGTCTTTGTAGTAAGTGAAAATGGTGACCTAGCTACGGGGAGTTTCTGGAAATATGCGGGTTCTGAGAATTGTCCCTTTTGACGTCCAGTCTGTCGTAGCGGAAACATAACGTGATTGAGACTTTACACGCAATGTTGCAGCTGCTGGGGAAGTCCGAGACATGCCAGGTATTTTCTAGGACATCAGATCTTCCATGAGCCGGAGATGTGAGGCTTGCGTCACAGTCTGGGGTTGTTATTTCGATCTCGTAAAATTTAATTCTTTCTTTGATGACAATTGTTGTCGGTTTTTGTTTTCATTTCTTGGTTTCTGCTGTACTAAGCACATGTTTTCTCTCCCTGTTCGTGTCCTTCGTTTCGTGTATTTTGGGTAGTCACTGATATGTGGTTTTCCATCGTCCAGGTGTACTCTATCTCTCCTGAATGTTTGTAACCGAATTTCTGAAAAGTCCTATACACACACACACACACACACACACACACACACACACATATATATATATTGTTTATTATGTATAGTATTTTCTATTTTTCTATTTTGTTGACTTTTTTTTACTTACTGAATGCATTAAATTGTTCTTGAATGCATTAATTGTATTGAATGCTATTAAACACGTATTGTTCCATGTTAATGGTTTGGTAACATTTGTTTACTTAATAAATCAGAGAAAAACGAAAAATTTAATTTCATCTTCAAAGGGGGGGGGATTCTGCTTGCTTAAAAAGAAGCTTAACTAAGAGTAGCTTAACTAATGAAGTAGAACTAAGAAAGTAATAAGAAAGCACCTAAAAGTAGCTTAACTAAGAAACATTATGGACCGTCCCGGTCAAAAAGTAAGACAAAATTGCCCATTACTATACATATGTAATATAAATATTGCAATTAAAAAAAACAATAATATATAGCATAATATACCTTCAATAAATAAATAAAATAAAATAAATCTTACAATTATGAAAAAGCAAAATTTCAGAAGAAGCATTCTGTAAAACGCTGTACAGCAAATAAGATAAGTTAATACTCCTCTTCATTACGCACACACACACACATACATACATATATAATAATATCATCTGCTTTAGTAATGAATTCCCTTAATCTATGTATAAAAGTATAATATTTGGGAGCTGCAATTCTAAATGCAAATGTGACAGGGCATTCCCAAATATAACATTTAATATCTACTTTTCCACATTTGCACAGTACATTTACTTTGAAGAAACGATTAAATACTATAAAAACGTTTTATGTCCCGTGATGGTGTGAGCCAAATAAAAATCTGATCATTACCGAGATTTCGAAACTTGTGCTAACACGCTATATAGTTTCATTCCTGTATTTCCATTATCCCATTCATCTTGCCATTTTTCTTTGAATTCTTTCCTAACAAAACTTCTGATGATTCTGTTAGAAAAGAGAGTGGTAATAACGATATCTTTCAAAAGCGCTTACAGATTTCACACGAGTTTCAACCAGTTCATTACTACGAATGCCAGAGTGACCACAAATTAAAAAATACTACCATTCTACTTATATAGGATGCTAAGGCGTGAACAATTTCTAGATTAGTGATTACCGTGTTGAAAGCTGCCTTTATTGGGGCTAATTCGTTCTTAGACTGATGAAGTATCATTAAGTTTAAATAATTTTTATTCTATAATAATATTATTTTATAATACAATAATAAACCCTGGATCTATATGTCTTGAATTTCGGAACCACCAGTAACCATTTCATATTCTTGAATATTTGGATCCTAATGTTACAATTCAAAAGCATCAAATTTAGCTGAATGTAGAAATCCCTTTAAGATTATAGAATACTCGCTGTAACTTCTTATGTCAGTGTCTTTGAGAGCAGTACTTCCATTTTTATAACAACTAAAATACAATTATCTCAGAATTTTGGCTTTAAAATGAGTAAGCAAAACTCCAGAAAGGAGTTGTAAAGCTGCAATTGGTGTATTAATGTAAACTTTTGTCATTATAAAGCCTATATTTGCACCTGATATAGCTTATTAAATACTCTAGCGGTTCCAGTATATCACTATTTCTAAACAAATAAAGTATAACAGTTTAAAAATTGTACCTTTTAAGCCATATCTCCTTCCGAAAGAAATTATTCAACTTGTCATGTTTCAGGTTTTGTTTTTGCAATTTTATGAGATATGGAATTCATGTAAGCAAATTTGATGATAAACCATAGTAGCACAACTCTTAGTAAGGCTATTATCCAACGTTATCATGGCAGTCCACTTAATTGGACTTAGCATTACTTAGCAATTTTAGGAAGAGTTGGCAATTGAATCTTAACGACCTTCAAACGAATATATATATATATATACATATAGGATGGCATCGTCCATTATAATCGGATGATGTGACAAGCTGTGAAAATAAATCTTTTACTTTTCCGATGATAGAATTTCAGACTATTCCGCCATTAAGACGATGATACGACTGAAAGATGTTTTGCATGTAAAAGACGATTCCTTCTCTTCATCTGTAAATAATCTCATCTATTTCCTTCTACGTATGTAATTACTTTGTAGTTTGTAGCAGTTATTCATGTTTCCATTAAATATTCGAGTTATTCATAAGTCGGATTTGTCATTTCCAGCCCCTAGACAGCCACCTCGGAAGTAAGTTTACAGACATCATATTCCTAGACAAACAAAAACCGATCCCCCCATATATATATATATATTTATATTTATATAAACGAATCTAATCATGGATTTTTCTTAGAGCCAACGTATCCTGGTCTTGAATTTGAATTCTATTTTTACCAGATGCAATTATAAAAACGCGTTCAGCATAAGCTTGAAGGATTATGCGTTCTTCAAATTCGATTTCTAAAGCAGAATCCACAGTGATATTCCAGAATGAAGCCACAAACCATAGACCCTTGTGGTGCACTTTTTTCATATCATTTTATGATAGAAATACCTTTTTATGATATAACACAGTGCTATCACACAAATAAAGATTGTGTCAATGCAAAAGTATTTCTTGTAATCTCATGAATAAAGTTGGCCAAAGTTATATGGTATAATATAGCTTTACTAGAAAGCTCGGCGGTCA